CCTACTATGATTACAATAGTAGGGTTAGGTTAAATTTCCCTAAACAGAGACGTTTACCTACCTTGAATACAATAGTAGGGTTAGGTTAACTTTCCCTAAACAGAGACGTTTACCTACCTTGATTACAATAGTAGGGTTAGGTTAACTTTCCCTATACAGAGACGTTTACCCACCTTGATAATAAGAATAGGCTTAAATCAACCTATTATAAATCAGAGTTCAACAAAAACAATTTGGACTATGAACAGTGATTAACAAACTTAGTTATCCCGAACAAGGAGAAGGGAATGAACTTATAGTGGACAACAACGAATAATCAAGCCAACTTACCTATGACAACTAGAAGTAAACAGGGAAAAAGCAAAAAGAGCACAAAATTCATTTTAACTGAAGACTGTTTAAACGAGTTATGGTCCAAATTATAAATATTTTACTGTTATTCAATATTAGTTTCTTCTGTTGTAGGCCTAACTGCAATTGAATGTTGTGTAATATAAAATGACCTTTTCTATGATCGTATTAAAAACCTGTCTCGAATGATTGATTGATAACAAACTACTGAAACATTTGTTCGATTGTTTTCTTTTCAAAAATATTATCTTTCGTCACAATAAGAGATCACCATTATTAACAAATATCACAATGATTGGTTTATCGAAGAGAGAGTAACAATAACAAATACATAAATGAAGAATGGCTAATAAATTAACTTCACGGAATTGTTTCATCTAGTATTCTCAGTTGTGTTGTAACATGAAACAGGTTGCACTTGTAAAGGGAACACCTGTAACCATATGTTGCGTCAGCGAGTCACATGACTGGTGTGACGCCACGTTTCTAGAACTATCCCGTATCTTGGCGAATGCTCTAGTATTTACTAGATGGAGGGTAGACTGGTATATAAAGGAGGGTGACAACGTGACGGGAGATTAATGTAATGTGTGTGTAGATAGTGAGTAATTGAACTGCAGTCACAGGGTATTGTTGAAGTTAACGTTCGTTCGTTACAGTGTTGTTTTAGCGCGAGTATTGAGATAAAGTGTATCGCAGAGTTATATTCGGAAAGAATAAACCAGTTTTATTAAGTAAAGACTTGTGTCGTTAAAGTTTCATTGGAACGAAGTTACGGAAAAATCAATTAACAAACGGAGACGTAACACATAGAAACACAGCAGCAGATTTTCATGAATATACAGCTTTACACTAACACTTTTAGGGTTAGATTTTATTTATTTATGTTTTACCTGTAGCTACAATAAAATATGAAAAATATAATTTTCGGTAAATGATCTTCTCGGTAAGATCGTATCCTACAATTGATGATCGAGCGTTTTATTTATTCTGACAATCTGCTTGCATTTCTGTCTTCGAATGTTTTCTTTTTTATTAGCCTTAGTCCTTTTAACCCCGTTATACCAGTACTTCTAACCCCCTTATACAAGTACTTCTAACTCCATTATACCAGTACTTCTGACCCCGTTATACCAGTACTTCTGACCCCTTATACAAGTACTTCTTACACCGTTATACCATTACTTCTAACCTCGTTATACCACTACTTTTAACCCCGTTATACCACTACTTTTAACCCCGTTATACCAGTACTTCTAACCCCGTTATACCAGTACTTCTGACTCCATTATACCAGTACTTCTAAACCCGTTATACCACTACTTTGAACCCCGTTATACCAGTACTTCTAACCTCGTTATACCAGTACTTCTAACCCCGTTATACCACGTTAGAAGTACTGGTATAATGGGGTTAGAAGTACTGGTATAACGGGGTTAAAAGTATAACGGGGTTAGAAGTACTGGTATAACGGCTGGTATAACGGTGTAAGAAGTACTTGTATAAGGGTTAGAAGTACTGGTATGGTATAACGGGGTTAGAAGTAGTACTTCTTACACCGTTATACCAGTACTTCTAACCCCGTTATACCAGTACTTCTTATAACGTTATACCAGTACTTCTAACCCCGTTATACCAGCACTTCTTACACCGTTATACCAGTACTTCTTTCACCGTTATACCAA